ATGGTAACGAGACTGGTGGGAGCCCGTGGTGCGGATACCACGAGCTCCGCTACCAATCTGAATCCCAGAGAGCCTCCAGAGGTCTCTGAAGTTTGCTCACCTCGCTCTCCAGGGATGCCCAAAACTGATGTTCAAGATTTACTCGTAAATCTGAATCCTGCTTCACACGATGAGCACCTTTTGCTCTCCTGAGACGATCGCGGCCCCAGTGCGCGATCTGTGCAGCTGCAATCAGCTGCCTAGGTAATACAGGCCCGCCCACCCACACCTTGAGCCAGTGGGCGGCGGTCACAGAACACGGCAGACCATGAACACACAGAGAAGCATCTAAAATCTAATCAGCATACGTGCCTGCTACTCTGTGTTCCTTTCAGAGGGGGGGGGGGGGGGGGGGGCGAAGCGTGGGTCCGCAGCCAGCTATGAAGCACGCAGCTGGCTACTCCCCAGGCGGCCCAGGCGATCTTGTCTGGCCAGCCCTGCATGGAGCATGTCGTTTTAAGTGGTGCTTGAAGGATCGCGTTCCTCCCATGACTTGTAGGAGCACGCCCCTGTCGATGCTCCTTTTGGTGTGGCCGTCCGCGGTCATATCGCGAGCATCGCACCACTGCGCGCAGCGCGCGATGCCTCGCCCCATCGCTTGTCGCACCCAACTGATGCGTTCCAGAACTTTGCTCGACAAGGATGCCAGCATGCGCGTGCCCACGCCGCGGCAGGTTTGCCCCGCGAATACCGCGGCCGTTGACCTCGTCATCGGCACCTCCGCTCAGACGTCGGTAACCAGAGTCGCTGTGCAGGTCGACCTCGCCCGTCGGAGTCATCGATGGATAGACGATCTTCATGGGGCAAACCTGCAATTGTCTGGCAATCGCGCTCAATCGTCGCACTTGCATGTTGGTCGGTTCTCGGGTGCGCTGTAGAGATGCGACCTATACAATGGACCGCGCTTCTGTGATGAGGGCTTAAGCCAAAGCGCCTCTGAGGCTGGCAAACATGTCAGTGACCATCTTCGGCGCCTTGGCCTCAGCGTCTACGCCCGTGAGTCCGCGATGCTGGATGCGACGGAGCTGTTGGCTATTTTCGCATTGATCATGGGTGCCGCTGCCGTGGCCGTCGTTGGTGCGCCTCGCAACACAATTCATATATGCGTGTGTCTGTTGAACTTACACTTGCCAAAACTATCCTCAACGCACTTAGCGGACCTGTCGATTGCGCCCTCAGTGCCGTCCATATTTCTGTCATCAACATGCGTGGCTGTAAGAAGTTTAGCGCTGGTCTCAAACTCCTCGTCGCAGGGCGTGGGTTTGAGACCGAGCCCCCCCGTGGTCTCCCTGAGCTTCAGTGGTAAAGCTCTTGGTGCATCCTTGGTGCCAGTGCCTGGTTCGAAGCACTGCAAGCAATGCTTCGGCTCACCGCAGTGCCGAAATCCTGGGAGGGATCTGGGCACAGGTGCTGACTCAGGTGACAATGCAAAGCACACTGCTCGTTCCTTCTCGCAGGTTGCTCAAGCAAGATCCTTATGGGCGAGTCCCTTCAAGAGAGCCATGCCGATGTCCAGGGAAACAATCATCCACTGCTTCCTGCGCGCTGCCGCGCTGGCGAGTAGTCGCTGACTCGACCGCGGCGCCGTTCCTGGGAACGTCTCCACCTCGAAGGCTTCGACGTCCATGAAGCCCCGCAGTACCAAGCGAAATCTGATGGTGCGTTCCATCTCGCACTTCTCGTTCTCGGCGGCGTTCCATTTATATGCGCATCTCGAAGTCATGATGTTTGGCGCTTTAGATATAGCTTGTATTTTGAAACGCGCACTGTCAGACCATGTATTCAGTTCAGTGCACAGTGCCTTCGATACCTTGACTGGGTTCGCCTGGACATCAGCCTTCGCGAGGAGGTCGTCCTCCTTGACGACTGCAGCTCGTCTAGCTGCAGCGGTCGCATATACTCGCATAGTGGTCACGCGGTCGAAGTCCAATATCCTGCGTCGTTGGTCGGGCTGGACAACCTTTGACATGTCTGCCGCAAAGAAGAGTTCTACATATTGCCCGTGCTCGTCAGAGTCCAATCCATAACTGTCGTCTTCGTCCGCGGAGCACAAAGGGACGTGATCTGTTCCCGCTGCGTCTATTTCCCGCGGGCTGCCCCGCGAGGGCAGGTGCCCCCGCTGTTCTTCAGCTACTGTGGCCAGCGCATTGTTGTCGGCGGTCGTCTGCGCGGGAGCAGTGTAGAGGTCGTCGGTTGGAATTGCCTCCAGTAGTTCCCGTTCTTTCTTGCAGTTCTGTGTACCGCGCTTCCATTATGCGTGCCTCGAGGTCCGCCTCTGATTCCTCATAGATGGGGGATGCCGCCCGTCTTCCTGTGGTGGTTCGACTTCTGGGGCCTCCGTTCGTTGCCTCGCGTTGGCGCGCCGGACAGTTCTTCGAACTTCGTCATGTCTTGGTCGAAGCCCGCTTGAGGTTTGGTGGACTCCAGGCATTGGATGATCCTGAACTGTGCTCTGATTATATCATGCGTGGTTAGGGCAGTGCCTTCGGCCTCGTAGTAACGGAAGCCTGGGCTTACGTCGTTGTCATATTGCGCCAGCGTACAAATGTCAGCATAAGTCACAGGGGCTAGCTTGCGAATGCTCTTAGCCAACTCGATGCGAAAGGAGTTCCTGATCAGGTATTGCAAAGCCAAATGTATCTTAGGAATCAGTCGGCTTGCACTCGTTATCCGGAGCACCCCCTTCATGGTCGGGCGGCATCCTCGCGTCAAAGCAGTCCGTAATGCTGCGTTGTCCGAGCCAATCCCTGGAACGACCAAAGCTTCAATATTTAGCGAAGGTGGTGCATCACCTCATTGGACTTGCACGCCGCGGCCCCCCACGCCGGCAATGACTTGACCCCTGCCGGGGTGATTCCGCGCGACCAGGAAGGGCCCACTCCAGCCACCAACGTCGTCCTTTGTAGTAGTGGGACGACGATGCTCGACCTTATCTCCTTCGCCGTAGTAATGCTGACCAGTGATCGTAATCTTGGTCCGTAGTGCACGGTTCGTCTTTGCTACTGCAGAGGCCTGAGTAATAGCCTGAATGATCGCCCGGCGGATAGTCTGTTCTCGAGAATGGTCGGGTGCGTCTGTCTGCCGTTCGTGGTCCGGAACAGGCAAGTCGGGTAGCATCGCTGGTTGCCGGCCGAACAGTGTGTTGCAGGGAAATGCCCCATTGCAGAAGGTAAATGCATTGACGGCGGAGGTACGTCATTTCTAGCTTCGATGGTCGCAGCGTGTCGCCTACGCACGCGCATCCTCAGCTCAGCGCCTTTTGCCTTAAGGTCTGCCTTTGCGGGTCGTTGTTGGGTGCGCCTTCCCTGTCGGAGGAAAGTACTTTGGCGAGTCCGAATTGCCTCCAGCGCTGATGATACGAGTCTAAGGTGCTGGTCATGGTTATGTCTGGCAACTCGGTTCCAGCACCGTATCGACTGCAACGATCGATTATGTGGAATATGTTGTGTTCCTGCAAATAGAACATCAGATCGCATTCGGCTTCGTCGTTGAACTTGCCATGTGGAGCAGTAGACGGCATGACGGCATGTCCTGGATTGTCCCAAGCCCTGCGCTATACTGGGCTGCTCTGGCCAATTCCTTTTTGCAGGCCGAGGCGTGTTGATGATGGCCCGCGCGCCGATTGCTCTCGAAGGGTGTTAGCAATAAGCGGTTCTTGGCCATTATCTCAATAGGTTTTCGTATTCATACCCCATGGGAGTCACGAAGACCCGTGGTGCATTGGTCGACGTTGGTTTTGCGTGTGCCCTCGCGTTTGGCCAATGTCGCCCATGGTGGCATTTCACCCCGAGTACCCACTGGTTGTTCTCGCAGGTAAGCGTCGGAGGCCGTCTTGGCGTACGGCAGCCCTTCCACAAAACTTGATGCGTGGAAAGTAGTCCGTGTGATATCCATACCACGTGTCATAGTTGACTTTCGAAATGAAGTGGGAAAGGTAGTCCAAGCGTTCTGCAGTTGGGTTGTCATATAACGGCATTCACAAAAAACACACCCAAGCTGTGCATGGCTGCATCCTGGACTTCCTCGTTCCCAAGAGCAACGTAATAACGTTTGTCGAAGTTCCCCCCTGATGATAAACCTCGGCTGAAGGCTAAGTGCGATATCCCCCCCAACCTCCACACACTTCCAGCATGCCTACCTTGTTGCTTCGTCCGTGACACACGGTTGGAATTATGGAGAACAGATCAGCAGATGTATCCGCAGGTAGCCCCGCTGGTAGTGTAATAAAGGTTTCTTCGTCTTTGTCACTGTCGGTGTCTAGGGGAACGTCAGTGTAGTATGTTCCACACCCGAGGCCCTTCAGGTCCTCGCCGCAGTCGTCGTTGCCGTCTTCGAACATATTGGGTATCTTGCGTGGTTTGATGCCGGCTTCTGTTGTGTCAATGTTCTGGTTTTCTTCCTGCTGCTTTCTGCTTTCCTTCTCATGCTTTACGATCTGCAAGCACTCGGAGATCGACTGGGGGGCCACCAGGACCAGGGGCTAACGCAAATGATCCAGTTTCCGACATAGCCGACGCTTAGCTGCCATGCAAAATCGCCAGGAGGATTCAGCAAAACAGCGGGCGCTCTTCTACTGCCTGGCGAAGCGTTGGACTCCGACAGGTAATAGGAAGCTTGAGCCAAACGGCCGTGGGTACACGTCATGTTCGACTACCTCAAATCCTTGGCTGCCAAAGCATATTTGTAATTCCTCCTCCTTCTCCTCCTCCTCCCCGCACCGGCACGCGTTTGGCATATCTGTTTTCTGTCTCCTTTGATGTTTTGTCTTGCTCATTCGCCGTTTGGGCGCCTGGCTGCGTGTGTGCGCGGGGGTGCTTACTGCTGTTCAAGAGCGCCTCGCATGACTTGCGGAAGTCTCCCAAAGCCGTCAAAAAGTTGCGAATCACACTAAAAAGCAGGATAACAAGCAACACACTGCCCCCCCCGCCCTCCCCCAGGGAGGCGAAGCCAAAACCCAACGCCTCGACCCCGTTGAGGAGCTTCTGGTTCATCTTACAGATCAGCCACTTGAAAAGGCGGCCGTAGACCAGCCGCACGAAAGCGTCGCGCTCGAACGCCGCCTGGTCTGCCTCCGTCGGGAGCCGCGGACGAGGAGCGATGAGGAGGATGATGAGGAGGAGGAGGGAGGAGAAGGATGGAGGAGGAGGAGGGAGGAGGGGATGGATGAGGAGGAGGAGGAGGAGGAGCAGGAGGAGGAGGAGATGGAGGATCTGACGTGGCACAGCTCTGGGGTGCCTTAACCCCGTTGGTGGGCCCAGTTCCCTGCTGGCACCGCCCTGGAAGGCACGGTGGTCGCAAGCGTCAGGAGGAGACGGAGGACGAGAGGATATCGAGGAGACGGCGGCGAAGGAGGATACCGAGGCGAAGGAGCAGGACGAGGTGAACCGGAATCCAGCGCTCGACAGAACATCGGGCCTCGAGGGTGCCCCTGCTCCCGCCGAGCCATGGCTTCCAGGGCCAGCGCGCCCACACTGAGAGCGGTCTCCCAGGTGAGCCCAATCATCGCAAGGACGCCACCCAGAAAGAGAGAGATACGTAGGTGTAGGAATTCCTGATCCCTTTCCCCCCTCCTCTGAGAAGAGCTCCAGTCCTCTATCCTCGCTGCTGCTGGAGTGGACGGCCCCTCCTTTCCTCTTCTCCCTGCTGGAGGATGCGGGCCCCCCCCCCGATTGTTGCAGCCTCTGGCCTTGAGCGACCTCTGTATCTTCTCGCCCCCAACGACGCTCTCGCGCGTCAGCAAGGCCTTGCCCAGGTTGGCCAGGTTTAGCCCGAGCAGGTCCGCCGCCCTCTGGGCCTCGTCTGAATTTCTGCCGATCAGGCAGCCTCGATCTCGATCTCGATCGGTCCCTCCTTCCCTCACTTCCTTACTCCCTCGCGCGCGCTCTCTCTCTCTCTCTATGTCTCTCTCTCTCTCTCTGTCGCCACCTTCAAAGGCTTCTGGGGGGGACAGCATAAGGGTGTCGACGGCAGATTCAAACTAGACCTCGACACTGTTGTGGCTGCGATCTGCGAAACTGTCGCCACTTTCGACGGCTGCTAGGGAAGCCAGCACAATGGGGCCACACGCAGATCCAAACGGAACCTCGCTGTCCCTGGGGGGCTGCGATCTGCGACTGTCGCCACTTTCGAGGGCTGCAAGGAGGGACAGCGTAAGGGTGCCGACGGCAGGTTCAAATTAGACCTCGACACCCCTGGGGGCTGCGATCTACGAAACTGGCGCTACTTTTGAGGGCCGGGTGCGATCGAAGACGAAGAAGGCGGGTAACAGGGGTTTTGAATGGCACGCGAGCAGATTGGAGCGATCAGTTTTAAACTGACTAATGTTGCTGCTGCTGTTGAATACTCCTTTCTTGAAGCAAATAATTATTGCTAATATCCGGAAGCGGTCCCGCACGCTCTCGCCTCGACGCCGGCTACATTTTCTCGGAGGAGAAGGAGGATACATTGCAGGAGGAAGAGGAGGAGAGGGCAGACCAAAAGGCGAGAGGAGTGCCCGCGAGGGCGAACAGGAAAAGGCTAAGCGCCAGCTAAACCGATTCTCATGTGGGGTCCTACCGTCGAAGTAAGTAATAAGAGTAAGCGGCGTGTCAACACATTTGGCCCCTAGCCCCCGACCTGGCACTTCATCACAATGTATTCCCAAAACGTGCTCTCGCGCGGGACGTCCTCATAAGTTATACACGAATCGCGCTCTCGCGTGGGACTTCCTCGCACTTGATTCAGACGCACCGCCGTCGACACTCAGGAATCACGCTCTCGCTGTGGTTTCCCTGGCGATTTGCTTGGGAATGACGCTATCGCTCGAGACTTCCCCGCGGTTCTTGCAGGACGCACGCCTCAGCAACCCGCCTGCTCGCCCTTGCAGCCTGGGCCCGCCTTCCCGACCCGCCCGATCTGCCCGTCTGGTGTTGCCACATGTTTTCTGCTCCTAGCCCCCCTCATGCTACTCTCTCTCGAGCTCCATCATCCTCCCTCCTCTGTGCCCCTTCCTTCCATCCGTCTTCTTTTCCCCTGCCTTTCGAGCTGCACGAAATACACCTCACAAGTCAGAGGGAGATATATACTCCCAAGGGGGTACGATCGAAGACGAAGAGGGCGGGTATCGAGGGTTTGGGATTGACTCAATGGCCCGCGAGCAGGTAACAGCGAACAGTGTTGAACTAAATGTTGTTGTTGCTGCTGCTGTTGCTGTTGTTGTTGTTGTTGTTGTTGTGTTTGTTCGTGTTGTTGTTGTTGTTGATGTTGATGTTGTTGTTGTTGTTGTTGTTGTTGTTGAATTCTCATTTATGAAAAGGGATTATTGTTGATCCACCCCCGCCCCGTGTATAATATATATATATATATATATATGTTTTCTGATGAAGTGCCCATCCCGGGGCTCGCACCCTGTTTTTTATCAGCAAAAGTATTAAAGGTCAAACCGTGTCGTTGGCTCCCGGTTTACAACAACAACGGCTCCCGCCTGATACTGCGTCACAATGTATTGAAGAGTCGCGCTCTCGCTTTGGACTTCCTGACAAGTTACCACCGAATCGCGGCTCTCGCCTGATACTCCTGACAATGTACTGCAGAATCGCCTTCTCGCTAGGGACTTCCTCTCAACTTACCACCGAAACGCTTCGCTTGATATTTCTTCATAATTTATTCAGATGCTGGGTCCGCGACACTCAAGAATCGTGCTCCCGCTGCAGTCTGCCTGGCGGTTCAAGCCGGATTCACGTTTCAACGACCCGCCCGCTCTACCTGCCCGTCGGGGCCTGCCCGCCCTACCAGCCCGTTAACGACTGCAGTCGCCGCTCGTTGCCCTTCGCCGGACTTCGATGCCCCTCGCTGCCCGTGCTGGTTCCGCGGTCGCCTTCGCTCGCTGCCCTTCGTGGCCCCATTGCTGCCCTCAGTGGCCCCGTCGCTGCCCTTTGTGGCCCCGTATACGAATGCCCTTCGTGGCCCCCGCTCGCTCGCGCCCGTCGTAGCCCCATACGCATGCCCTTCGTGGCCCCGCTGTCGCCCTTCGTGGCCCCCTCGCTGCCCTTCGTGGCCCCTTTGCTGCCGCGCTGTCGCCCTTTGTGGCCCCGTATACGAATGCCCTTCGTGGCCCCCGCTCGCTCGCGCCCTTTGTGGCCCCGTATACGAATGCCCTTCGTGGCCCCGCTGTCGCCATTTGTGGCCCATTCGCTACCCTTCGTGGCCCCGGTGCTGCCCTCAGCGGCCCCGTCGCTGCTCTTTGTGGCCTCGGGTTTGATGCCCTTCGTGGCCCACGCTGGCTTTTCTAACGATTTACTTGGGAATCGCGCTATCGCTCGAAATTTCCTCGCGATTCATGCAGGACCCACGCTTCAGCAACCCGCCAGCTCGACCTCGCCGCCTGGGCCCGCCTTCCCGACATGCCCGCTATGGGTCTGCCCACCCGATCTGCCCGTCTGGTTCTACCACTGTTTTTCTGCTCCTTGCCCCCCTCCTGCTAATTTCTCTCGTGCTCCATTCTTCTCCCTCCCCCTTCCACCCGTCCTCTCTTCCCTTGTTTTAAGGGCTGCACTAAATACACGTGGCAGGTAAGGAAGATATACCACCAAGGGGGTACGATCGAAGACCACGAGGGCGGGTACCGAGGGTTTGGGATATACGTATTGATTGGCACGTGAGCAGATAGGAGCGAACAGTCTTAAAACTATTGTTGTTGCTGTTGTCGTTGTTGTTTGTGTTGCTGTCGTCCTTGCCCTCGACCCAACCCGCGACCCACCCACGACCCACCCACGACCCACCCGCGACCCGCCTGCGACCCTTCGCGACCCACCCGCGACCCACCCACATTGCTTTGACGAAAATTCGACGCCTGCGGCGGACTCGAATGCGTAAGCACTATCCGCCTGCAACGGGCTTCCTCAAAGCCCTACAGACTGCCGACGACCCCGCCGCCACCCCACTCTCATCCGTAACTGCGGGGGCTATGGCCCGTATTCCCCAGGCAGCGTTTGCGCTTCGAGTTTCCTGCGCATCTAGCTTAATGTTCGGATGGGTTGCCCAAGCTCTCGCCACATTGGCGCCCGTGCCCGCTCGTGGGCGCCTCGTGGGCGCTCCGCGCGCTTACGCCACATATCTTGCACCACATAGCTTGCAACACATAGCTCACACCACTCTAACTTTCACCACATCGCTCACACCACATACAACACATACCGTAGATCGCACCGTGTAGTCCATATCACATAAATGGCACAACATAGCTTACGCAACATATCATACACCACAAGCGTAGATCACATCAGATAGCTCAGACGCAAACGGACCTCTTTAGCGTCAGGGTGGACACGCAAGAAGACGCCACACTCTCATACACGCACGCACGCGCACGCACACACAGATACAAACACAAACAACGACGCAAACACATACGCACACACGCACAAACGCAAACACACAAACACATACTCATCCGTTGATGTGAAGTTGCAACCGCGTAGCATGCTACTGGGAAACGCCATCATGGATTGCAAACGTGCTTAGGTCGAATGCGCTCAAGTAACTAAGGTACCCTACAACAAGTGGGGGCAACGACAGGCGAAGGAAAAAGTGCAGCGACCAAGCATGCGCGAAGGCACACTGGCGAACGGGAGCCCACGTGTGTCTAAACTGCAGCTGCGTTGAACGCAAGACGAGGCAATGTTAGGAGGCCAACCCCACACGCAGCGGGGCAGCGGCGGGCGGGGTGGCGGCGGGCGCGTGCTTGTCAACCTGCAATACAGAGACGCGCCGGTGCAACTACGTTGGGCGCACGGACGGGCTTGGCACCAACCTAACACGCACGTGCACACATACACACACACACTCGCAACTGTTTACCTCCGCCAGCGTTGTGGTCCGTTGGCGCGCTGGCAAGTGGTCCGGGCCGGCGCACACACGCGCAAACCACACGCGCAGAGAAACAGAGACGCGAGACACGCACACAAGCTTTTTCTTCCAGCAGCCGCGTGACGTCACTGCAGCGAGAACTAATGCGGGGACACGCCTGGCGTCAGTTCCGTCTGACGCTGCCGACAGGTGGACTGCGCAGGGCACGCATAAAAACGCGCACGCACACTTGTCAGTCGCAGCACCAGCGGATGCCAAGCGCAAGTGGAGCGGCAGACTGGGACGCGGAAGCGCTGATTGAGCACGGGAGGCGAGGCATGGGAGGGAAGGAGGCGGCCGCGGCGCTGGGGAGGAACGAAGGCGTAGCTCGACCTCAGGATGTGCAGCGCCCGCGCACACACGCGCGCGCGCACGAAGGCGTGCCAAAGTGCACGCACGCACGCGCAAAGACGATGGAGCAGGTGAGCCGGCGTGAGGACGAGCGCCCTGCCGCCGCCCCCCCCAGGCGGGACCGCGCATCGGTGCTCCTCGGACAGGTCCTGGGTCTTTGCCCCCTGGAGCCGCCCCTCGGACAGGTCCTGGAAGGAGTGTGTGTGTGTGTGTGTGTGTGTGCCGCGTTCCTCCTCCCCTTCCTCTCGAGGGCCCCCAAGCGGTGTGGTGACCACACCGAGTGGTGAGTCGGTGGGAATTCGGGGTCACCGCACGTTTTGTGGACTCGGGTCATTATCCGAGGACGTCTCGGGCGACCGGAGCCTTCGAGATCCCAAGACCGTGCGGTGACGGACCGCGCGGTGAACACTCTTGGGATTTCCAGGTCACAGCGAGGTGCGTCACCACACGGTTTTGAGACCTCCACTCCTCGTCCCCCTGCTGCCTCTCTCCCTCTCTCCTTCCCCGGGAAGGAAGGAGGAAGGAGGAGTAGGACGACAAGTTTTAGGGGGTTCTAGGGGGTTCCAATTTGCATTTTGAATGTTCGTAGGTGTTCATTCCGCGCCGCGGTCTGCCGCCCCGACCGTGCTGTGCGTTCGCCAGCGCTGCGACGGAAAAAAGCAATCGTAGGTGTTCTGGGGTGTTCAAGGGGCTCTGCGGTGCGCGTTTGAGCGTTGCTGAAAGGGGGACGATAAACGTGGGGTGTGTGGGCAGATACGTGCACCTGTCGTGCCGCAGGGGTCGACTTCAGGAGCTTTTGGGGCACAAAAGGTGCACCGTTGCTCATTCCCCCATGTCTCGCACTCCCATCATGCAGCGCCCGACGCGTGCGCAGTGCGACTGCACAAGCGGACAGTGGGCAGCTCGACTCAAATATGCATTGCAAGCAAGGGCGTTCTTCAGAATGCGACGGTAGCTGGGTGTGGTATGCATGCAGATGTAGAGAGCTCGACAGCGGTCGGGAGAGCTGCGCAGACCGATTGATTAATGGCCGCGGCAGCGAACGAGAATAGCGCACATGGCCGACTCGGGAAAACCTGGATCAAAACATGCCGGCGTCTCAATTTGCGTCTGCTGGCCTTTCCCCGGCAGGGCCGCCGCCGTTTTACTTCCGCCGCCCTCGTCAGCCTGCAGCCGGAGACGAGATTCTTATTAGGACCCCCGATGGCGAGGCCCCATCTGCGTCGCCTCATGCAGAAAAACCGGCAAACCGACACCCAGGCAGGTGAAAGTGCGACAGTGGCGGCGCTCGCCAAATGCCGCCGCCGCAGTCCGCCGAGGCTGGCGTGCGCGCGCGCGTGAGCGCCGCCTCCCCCGCGCGGCCCTCCACGACGTAGCGCTGAAGACTGTTCAACCCTATCGATTGGCTACTTATTATGTGGTTTGTCGGGTAATTCCAGGGTCACCCTGGAATTACCCAAGAATCTCAAGACGTTCTGAAACAAGACTAAATTCAATAGTGTTCTCCTCACCCCCAAGAACCAGGAGTGCCAAGCTCGAAGAGCTGTAAACACAACATGCCAATTTCGAGCTGACTTGTCACACCCTGTCTGCGCAACAGTTTGGTGACCAGACCAGGCTGAGCAGGCGCTTCGGAAACAAAAAGCACACACAGGAATCTCGAGGCGACGACAAGCTGAGAAACATCCCAGGGACAACCTCCAGTTGACGGCTTAAAGGAGAAGCGAGCGGCGGGGACGGCAGCAGTGCACTTGAACCGCAAAAGCGGCGGCCGAGTGGAAAGAGGAAATGGGTTCAGAGAACAAGTGCGTCCTCACCCCCAACAGACAGGAGTGCCAAGCTCGACGAGCTGTAAATACAACGTGCCAACTTCGAGCTGATTTGCATACCCTGTCTGCGAAACAGCTTGGTGACCAGACCGGACTGTGCAGGTGCCCCGAAAAACGCAGGAATCTCCAGGCGACGACAAGCTGAGAAACCTCCCAGGCCCGTACTGTGCTCTGGAGCCGCAGACCTATAAAAGGGTCATCCGAAGCCTGCGGCTGCTGACAGGCGTGCATGATTAAGAACGTTGACGGAGGCAGCACCAGCCTGCCCTAGCTCCTTGGGGTACTGAGCGGCCACTGCGGTCCAATTCGCCGAGGTTCCAGGGACTTTGCCTACGAGGCCGAGGTGCGGCCAATGTGTGAAGCCGCACACGCCGCGCCCGTGACGGAAACGACTCCCCCCCAAGACGTCGCCGCCCCCCCCCCCCCGTCGCTTCGCGCCCAAAGATGACAGCCGTGGGCGCGAGCTGGTCGATCTGGCTTGGGGTCGGCAGGAATGGGGCGCAACGGAATGGAAGTCTGCGCGCCAGCTCCGGCAACTGGAGCGGCCCCCTAAACGGCAGACCACGCGCTGAGCACGAGCACACGCAGGAAAATGCGATCAATACGGGGTCGGCAGGAGCGCCCCGGAAGCCGAGCAAGCCGGGCCCGCGGCCCGAGCGAGGAAGACGGCGCGCCTCTCGGTGTAAGCGGCTCGCTTAGAATACCAGCACTTCCCCATGACATAGAAGCCCGATGCAATCGCCGCCACCCTGGAGATCAGTTCGGCCCGAAAGAGAAAATTGCCCATGACCTGGCCCCCGAGATGGCGGGCCGAGTCCGCGGGTGCCCCAGCGAGAAGAACCCTGATTTTCGAACACCCCCCGACGGCGAGCGCGCAATCCTGCGCCCGCGAAAAACATGGGGCTGACGTTCTTGGCGGGGTTGAAGGGCGTAGCCGCGGCGGTGAGGCTCAGCTCTCAGCAGTAGTTCGCGTGCCCAAGACCGCCGGGAGGGCACCGAGGGCGTTGCCTAATCTGTCGCGACAAATTTTCGAATCGCATGATCTACGCCTGATTGGAATGCCAAGACCAAAAATATACATTCACCGTCGCAATGTAACGTAAGCTGGCACCAAGTAGCTGCCTCTGGTCCGCGTTCCTCACACGGCCCCATGCACCTCTGCAAACACCGGGCTAATTTCTCTTGCGAATACCTTTACAGCCCGCGGGTCACCGATCAAGGCGCCCGCGCTGGGCCGCGCGCGCGCGTCTCCAAACATCGCGGCCGCAAAGTGAAACTGTTGCCTCCCATCGGCGCGTGATCTTCCATCATAATGCTCTCACTCGCGTCCGCCAAGCTATTCCAGCCTGTCGAAGCGATCGCGTTGGCACTGTCTTTCAAGTCCGCGACGTGGTTGATGCCGAGGGAGCGTCACTTCCATGCGCAAAACTGCTGGCCGAGGATGGCCGTTTCTCGCCGCCCGCGTGGAATACGCCCGCGGGCGAAGAGCGGCTCGTCATGCAGTTCAGCTGGGTCGACGGCTGTAGCCACGAAGCCCTTGCCGAGCGGGTCGAGGAGGCGGATGGCTCGTAAGCGCCAAGCCTTGCCTCAGGTGCCATATCAGCGGAATGCGTCCAGATCTGCGAAGCCGATGCATAAATTGCGCGAGAAATCTCCATGCCAACTCCTGGTCGATCCTAGGGGTCTCGTAGTCAGCGCCGCGGTGGCGTCGTGATACTTGACGGCAGCGACGCAACGCCGTCCACCATGGTTCGAGCGGTCCTTGCCATGGGGGGGGGCAAGCGCGCCGCGCAGGTGCTCGTAGTATTCAAGTGCGTATGCGCATATCTCCTGAATGCGATGCTTCGCCCATGCCAGCCCCTCCTCAGTCCGCGGCGCCAACAATTGTTGCGCCTTTTGGCCCGTGACATCGTTGAACATAAAAACGTCGGCCCCCTGAATCCACTCGACGTTGGCGGCCGCCATGCCGCCGCGCCCTGCTGGCAACGCCTAGCGCTCAGCGAGCTCCTCCCCCGCCAATAGAGCAACGAGCGCGCGTCGACGATCTCGCCTTCGCGGGCCGACTCCCGTGCATATTGGCGAGAAAGTCCAGTCACCTCAGCTCGTCGCCCGTGCCGCCGCGCCTCGTTGAGCTCATCAGCCGCGTCGTGCCGCCACTGCTTCCAGCACTGACGCCCGGTCGATCGCTGCCATTTGGTGCGGCAGCGTAGCCGCCATTGTACGGCCAACAGCACCTTGCGTAGCGCGTCGTCGCAGTCGCAATCTGGGTGAAACTCAAACTCTCCGAGTTGGCGGCGAAGCGCCCGCTGCTGATCAAGTAGCGTTTGGGTGGCAGCGGCCACCGCGCGGTGCCCAGGTCGGCACCCAAGCGCTTTCGCAAAATATTCGCCCCCACTCGTCAGCATAGCATTCATGGAAAACCAATCTGCATTTGGTGTCTGATCGCGATGGTGGATCGCCTCCCACTCGGTACAAATGTGTGCGAATGTAAGTTTCCAGCTCCTTGCGAAATTCGGCGCGTTGCTGTCAACTGCGTAATGATTGCATCAGGGCCTTTCTGTTCCAGTGAGTACTTCGGGCTATGTAGCCCAATCGAGAGTTTCGGTAATTTCGCAATGGCTGTGGGAGTCTGTGGTGTGCGCAATCGAATAATAGTTCAGACAAACATGTACTGGTGCGTGATTTCAGGTCTGGCGAATCGCAAAGACCTGTAGGTCACGGCCGGGTTGTCGTAATGGGCCAGCTGAAGTGCAATCCCCAAGTAGGGTCCCGGGCATGAGCACGAAATCGATATGCGAGGCGTTCTTGCTGCCGAGAGAGGTGGGGCCGTGCCCGATGTAGATGGGGGGATGCACTCCGCCGCGTAGCGCTGCTTGTCCTGAGCCGAAGGGCCCGAGACGTTAGACTGCGCGGCGCGCAAGGTGGTACCCCCGCCCAGCCGCTGGCAGCCGATCCCCGAGTTCAGGTCGACGCAGAAGATAGGCAGCACCCTCTTCGTGATGAGATAAGGCATTGAGCGGAGCCATGTGGTCAGCGCAATGCAGGCGCGGCGGTCGACCTCGCGGCTGCCCCTCACGGGCGGCGGCGGGTAGTAGACCGAGCAGACACCGATGTCGCACGCAGCGCAGCGAGCCCGTAGAGCAATTCCTCTCGAGCGAGGCTGCGGGCATCCAGGTGTGGGTGATCGACGACCTCCGTACGTTAGCCCCGAGGATGATACTGCAGCCAGTGGTTTTGTTGGTGAGAGGTCCTCGGGCCCAGCCGCTCCCCAGGCGCCAATTGTGATCGCCGGCTTTGCGCCGGCGCGGCTCCCGAGCCTTCTCTCGGCCAAACCCCTTAGCAGTAGCGCCATTCAAACACGCGACATCGTGCGCTGTGCAAGCCTGCGCAATCGAGGCGAGTGTCTCGCCCCTGGAAGCGTGCAGAGGGTTGCACTGGAGCGCGCGCAGACGACGCCCCGCCATCTCGCAGGTGAGCAGGAGCCAGCAGCCCACGTAATAACATCTAGAAGTTATCGAAGTAATAGTCAGATGTGGAGGGGATGTCTCGGAAGCGAAGCATACAGAAACATGGGGAGCTGGGCGCCTGTCGCCCTGGATTTCTGCGCGGGTGCTCCTGACCCTGATGCCCTGGAGGATGGTGGGCGCAGCTTCCACGGAAGCCCTGACAGAAGTGAGTGAAACTCACGACTGCCAGGGCCGCCAGGAGTTCCTCGCTCGGTGAGCTCCTCGCCGCCGCGAGCGCGGCGCAACCGGACGTGGCGACGAGGGGGGGCCCGAACAAGCCCAGACAGGCATCCGTCGCGACCCTGGCCTACTGCAAGGGCAGGCCAGGGGAGCGGAAACCACCCCCGCGGGGTCGGACGGGCAGCCAGACGGCCCCCAAAGGCCCCCAGGGAGGGGACTCGGGTTCGCGCTCCTGCGCGAGCCCCAGTCCGAGGCGCCACCCCGCAGAACGCGCCGCGGGGGCCGCCGACCAAAATCTCGAAGCGGATCCAGCCAGAGCCACTAGAGCGCCGACGGCCCGCCCCGAGCCTCAGCAGTCGCCGACAGCCCTGTCCTCCCGCCGAAAACGCGGAACAGGCTCACTCCCTGGACGCGGAAGCACTGTCGGAAGCGATGGGATTGCATGAAGGCGTGCATCAGGCCGAGGTCCACGTCCTCGTACTCGAGCTGGCGCACCACGTCCTCCATGCTCACGCCGACGTCGGCGAGCCCAACCTCCAACTCGCCCTCCGCATGATTGGAATTGACCGCCGCGTGGCGATGCGAGAACAGCTTGACGAGGAACTGCTCGGCGTCGAAGCGCGGGCAGGCAACGTCCTCGCACACGCGGTCCGCGGGCACGGCCCCTGGGAAACCGCCGTCGTCGCTCTTCACGTGGCACCCCTCGTCGCCGAACATCTGCTCCGAGCCAACCTCGACGACCTCGTCGAACTCCAGCTCCGAGCCAGCAACGTCAACCCTCGGCGCCCCGCGCTCGGAGGACACCGCGACGGCCTCCAAGGAGGCGCGCTCTCCCACTCGATCATCTCCTGCACCGCCACCAACAAGAACGGCTTCAGAGTGAGGCGGCGCCATGACGGCGACTCCCTTCTGCTCCTGCTGGTCACTCTCCACGGTCATGTGCACCGCGATGCCCGCCAACTCCCCCGACACCGCGTCGAAAGACTCACGCTCCGAGCCAACCTCGACACCGTCCGCGTCGAACTCCAGCTCCGAGCTCATATCGACGAAAACGCCACGATCCGCGCAAGCATTGCCCACGAAGGATGCGCCCGGGTCGTGGACATCGATCTCCTTACCGCCGAACGCCAGCAACGGGCCGACCTCCACGGAACCGTCGAACTCCAGCACCGCGCCAACCTCGGCGAGATCCGCCACCTCGCCTTTCGCGACGTCGCAGTGGGGCAGGAAGGCGGCGGCCTTCGCCCGCAGCGGCGTGCTCCTGCCTCCCAGCAGGCCTTCCAGCGCGGCGGCCAGCGGGGCGTCGGGCGGGCGCGGCGGGCCAGCAACTGAGGGCGGCGGCGCGTGCCGCGACCAGTTGCCAGCCTCCAGGACCTCCACGTAGTGCTTCACCTCCGCAGGTGGCCAGCCCAACAGACGGGCAGCCACGACTGCCTCCCCCATGGACGGGAAGTGGCAGCCCACAATGGCCCAGTGCTCAGCAAGCGCCACGCGCAAGAACTTGAGCCTGTGAGCCAGCGCCCCCGCGCGAGTGTCACCCAGCGCCGACCGCCTCTCCCGGCGGAGCCTCCGGGCCAGGAGGAGGAGGGGGAGGAGGAGGAGGAGAGGAGGGTGGGGGGAAAGGAAGAGGGAGAGAGGGAGAGAGGGAGCAAAGAGAGCGAGGGAAAGAGGGGATGATGGAGCAAGGAGCCTTGGTTCTCCCCCCGAAAACGCAATGACTTCCGGAGCCCAAACAGACACATGGCGGTCCTTTTCACCCTTCCTCCTCCCTCCCCCCCTCCATCCTCGCTCCTACCCCGTACACCCTCGTCTTTCGATATTATCCATCTGTCCTCCTCGATCCTCCTACTCCCTCTGTCTCTGCCCCTGCTCCTAGCTGTGTTCCACATCTTTCTCGTTGTCCTCGTCCTTCTCCTTCTCCTCCCCTCCCCCTCTTCCTCTCCACTTCATCATCTTTGTTATTTTCGCTTCTAACCTTCGTCGTCGCCGTTCTCCTCCTCCTCCTCCTCCTTCCTCCTCCCCGCTCCCCTATACAGCTACTTCAGATGAGTACTGTCCTCCTCTGCCCCGGAGACGTGTTGAGAGCAGCGCGCCACCTTCCTCGTATTGTTTCACACACCAGACCCTCAGCATGCGATATTACGTATGTTCCCGTTTCCAATGCGAACGTTCTCGGTCCTTCCCAGATGGTGCCCCCCCTGAGGCGCTGGCATCATCATAAGATCGGCCCTTTCCTCCAGTCGTTCAGAATGACGCGTTCGCCCCAGCGCGGGCCACACTTCTGGGCGCGAGTGCTTCCTCGTCCTTTCCCCTCCCCCGCCTGCCTCTGGCCTTCCTGCTCCTCTCGTGCCTCCTGCTCCTGCTGCTGCAGCTCCTCCTCGTCCTCCTGCTTCCTCGCCCTTCCCCTGTTCCTCCCGCTCATCATCCTGCTCATCCGCCACCTCCTCCTCCAACTGTGCACAGCTCCCCTTTTTCAGAGTGTGGGCAACACGATGTGGTCATGTTGGGTTTTCCACGTCCGCTATGACACCCGTTGTCGGATAGAGAACAACAGCCCAATGTGCAGAGATGGGAGAGAGGAGTAGGATGTCAAATGTGGCGCGAGCGCACCTAGCTTGCCCTCATCCCCTCTCCACTCTCTTCCCCAATCTTTCTTCATTCCCCCCACGGGGGAGATAATCCTTCGCCTCTTCCGCGAACGCCAGAGACTCGCCGACCTCTGCGAACTTGACGTTTCCGAGCTCCAATATGCCTTCACCATGCCGAGTATCTCCCTTCCCCACCTGCCGTCCCATCCACTTCCATCGAGTTTCCTCGTTCGCACCTCTTCGGTCCCTCCCTTCCTTCATCCTCCTTTGCTCCTCCCTCCCTCGCTCAATTCCTCTGCCTTCCTAGCACAACTCCTCCCTCCCTCCTCCTCTCCAGCGCCAAACCCCCTTCAGACCCTCCCTTCACCGCTCCTCCGTTACCCTCGCCAGTCTCGCACCCTTGACACCCTTCCCTTCCGCACCGCCCCCTTTCCTCCCCCTCCCTTTCTCTCCGCTCCATCGGCTGCTTCCTTCCTCTCTCCTCGCTCCTCCACGTCCCTTCCTCCCCCATGGCCGTCCACGGCGACGGCAAAACTGGAAACCGATGGAACCGACAACGAAATCGAAACCGACCGAAACCGTCAAGACGCAAACAATCTAGACGGGCGCAACGACGTGGCAGCGACACGATAACCGACCGAACGCAACCGACTGCGACGCAGCCGAACCGACCGAACCGCGAACATCCTTGCCCCCGCCCCTCCCTCACTTTACCCTTGCCCTCTCCCTCAATCCCCCCCCCATCCAACTTGCCCCATCCCCCCGCCCGTTCGCCGATCACGTGCCTGCCACGACGCTGAAGATCTCCTTCTGCAGCGACGCCTCTCGGGGGGAGCGGGGCAGAGCGGAGCGTGCGGAGACGTCGCCCGGAGGAGACGAGGGGGGACAAAGAAAAGAAGGGAGGGGGGTGACGAAGGAGGGGGGGGCGGGCAACCAGAGGAAGGGCGCGGGGGAGAATCAGCTGCGTGCGGTTGGTCTTCTAGGCTGATGGGGAACGTCATAGGGGGGATCGGCTCAAGGGGGAAACATCGAGCTGGAATCGGCAATACAGCCGATAGATCGGCGATGGGCCCCCGATAGCGAGACTGCAGGGTCCCGGGCGGTGTGGGCTATCAGGCCCATCTCGGCGATAAGTGGGCGATTGGGTGTTGATGCGTCCCTCCTTGCGCCTATCCCCTCCCTAACATTGCCCCGAACGCGCACATGAACTCAAGCGGCGGGTGCGAAGCTACCTGCGGGTCGCGTGAGCAATGAATTGGCCAAAGCGTGCGGGGACGTGCGGTAGACTAGAAACCTCGAGATAGGCCACGCCAAAGGGAGCCATCGAGCAGCCCAGGCAGGCGGGTGCCAGTCCCCCATCGCACACACGCACACGCCACACACAAGCACAACCACACACACACGCACACACACATACACACGACCGAACACGAACACGAACACGAACACGAACACGAACACGAACACGAACACGAACACGAACACGAACACGAACACGAACACACACACACACACACACACACAAACGACACACACAATAACGACACACACACACGACGCACACGACACACACGACACACACGACGCACACGCACACACGACACACACACACGACACACACACACACAACACACACTCTCCCTTTTTCGTCAGCGGCGAAGCGGCGACCTTTGCTCCAGCGAGAAGCTAGATAGGGGCACTAACTAGCGAATCGTCCGTCGAGCAAAGAGGGGGGGGGACGGCCGAGAGGAAAAAGGACGGTCAGACGCCGAAAACTTCGACGACGAGCAGCTGGGGGGGCAGCAGCAGCCAGGCGCGCAGGGCCAGAGCGCGGTGGGCGGCCGTGGCGAACCACGGTGGCAAGGGTGGCGGGGAGCGGCAGCCAGCGGCTGGAGCTGGCGGGGGGCACAGTGGGACACCACGAACGGTGTACCGCGGCGCACCGAGGAGAAGGCACAGCACTGAGCCGTGCGGAGGCGGGAGCAGCGGCCAGATGGCTGGCAGTGACAGGGGTACTGCGGCGTGACCGCCCGAGGCCAGGTGGCCAGGGGGCGGGGAGAAGTGGGGAGGGAGGCAGTGGGCGAAGCGTCCCAGGCGCCCGCGGGCGGCGGGGCGGAACGGCAACGCGGGGGGGGAAGTGGGGGCAGCTGGAAGTGGCAACGCAGCCAGATGGCTGGCAAAGAGAAGGGAATGGCGGCGATCGCCCAAAGCCGCGCTAAGGGGCCACAGGGCAAAGAGGGGAGGGGCCGGTGGCGGCGGGCGAGCGTCCCGGGCGCCCGCAGGCAGCGGGGCGGAACAACATCGCAACGAGTGGAGGCGGCGCGAGGCTGCCGCGGAAAGAGGGGAGCACCGTAGGGTGCGGAAACAGTGTAGCAACGCAGGGACCCACTGGGCGGTCCAGCGTGGTGCGTCGGACAGGGGACAGTGGGTGAGCGACGCGCGTCCCACACGGGAGGTACGTCGCGGAGGGCGGCGGCGGGAGCACCGAAAGGTGCGGAAGCTGGGTAGCGACGCTGGGCAGCCCAGTGGGCGGTACAGCGTGGTGCAGCAAAGGAGCGCCGAAATGGCGCAGGGGACAGTGGGAGAGCGACGCGCGTCCCACACGGGAGGTACGTCGCGAGGGGGCGGCGGCGGGATCACCGAGAGGTGCAGAAGCCGGGTAACGGCGCTGGGCGACCCAATGGGCGGTCCAGCGTGGTGCAGCAGAGAAACACCGAAGTGGTGCAGGGGACAATGTGTGTGCGTGACGCGCGTCCCACGCGGGAGGTACGGTACGACGCAAGGAGGAGAGGAGAGGAGGGAGGAGGGCCACATGTGGAGTGGCGCAGTGCCTCCGGGCAGCACGCCCCGTGGAGGTGCCAAGTGCAGCCGGGTGGTGGTGGTGGTGGTGGCCGTTTAGCGCCGAAGGCGGGCGCCGGGGGCGTCGTCTGGCTGCTCGCGGTCGTGGTGCTCACGGTCGAGCTGCTGGGGTCCGTCGTGCTGCTCACGGTGTTGCTGCTAGGGTACTTCCTGCCGCTCGCGGTCGCGCTGCGGGGATCCGTCGTCCTGTTCCCGATGGTGCTGCTGGCGCCCGTCCTGCTGCTCACGGCTGCGCTGCTGGGTTCTGCTACCTGGCCGCGGCGACGAGGGTTCTCCAGGACGAGTAGCGGCACCAGGTGTGATCGTCGCGACAACGGGGGGGGGAAAGGACCCCCTGGCTTCCAGGGCGGACTGGGGGGCACACAAACACACACACACACACACAGACACACACACACACACATACACACAAACACACACAGACACACACAGACGCTCACACAGACAAACACATACACACACATACACACAGACACACGCACACACACACACACACACACACACACACACACACACACACACGCACACACGCACACACACATATACATATAATACACACGGTTTTCGGTCGTCGCGGCCAGGCGCACCGCACCGCCGTGGCGTCAGAGCGAGGTCGCTGGCGCGCGCGCCAAAAGAAAGGCCAGGCAAAGGTAGCCCCTCACGGGGCAGCAGCGGGCAGCGGCAGCCCGGGAGGCGGCGGGCCCCCGGGAGGCGTCTGGGCGACGGCGGGGCAGCGGGGGCAGGCGCCGGGCGAGCCAGCAGGGCGGCGAGGAGGCGGGGAGCGAGGCCGCGCCAAAATCAACCGGGCAGGTGCGACCGTGGTTGGGTCCAGAAAGCGGCGGGCGAAGGGCAGGAGGGCGGAGTGCCGCGCCAAAGTTAGGCGGGCGGGGAGCGCCGGGCAGAGCCCAGGCGGGGCGGGCGAGGGGGGCGTCAGCCAGCGGGCGGCGGATGAGGGGCGGAGAGCGAGGGCGCCGGCGAGGGCAGGCGGGCGGCAGGCCGAACCCGAGCAGATACACACACACACACACTCACACTCACACACACACACACACACACACACGCACGCACGCACGCACGCACGCGCGCGCGCACGCACGCACGCACGCACGCACGCACGCACGCACGCACAGGCACAGGCACACACAAAGGCACGCACACTCACCCGCACACGTACACACATACGCACCTCTTTCGGACCCCACGATCCTCGAACTCGAGCGACTGGAACGCCTCCACGATCTCCTCGAAGATCTGGGCGTCGTTGAGGCTCGGCGCCTGCTGCACGCAATCCTTGAGGTAGCTGTACTTGCTGGGCGGCAACATGCCCAGGCCCTGCAGCTCGTTGCTGTCGCGCATATGTGCGAGGGCGAAGAATACATGGTAGTTTCGCTCCACCTGAGACGCTTCAATCAAAGACCTCAGCCTCAATGAATCGAGAGGTTGCCATCTACCCTTCGGAGGAAGCTGGCGGAAGGCCAGCGGAAGACGGAAGGTTTTTTTGAGGGCTGAGCGAAAGACAAACGATGGCAGTTCTGCCAGCGGGAGTTAACAATTGCTCCCAAAAGAGGTTAACGCCGGCGCACCCAGGACTTTCGGTTGTCGGCCACCTTTGCGGTGCCTGTGACGCGGGTGAGCTCCAGGACGTAGTCGACGATCTGGCAACCGGCTATCTGGCCGCGGCCGTCGAAGCTCAGCTCAAGCCACTTGCCAAAGCGGGAGGAGTTGTTGTTCCTCTGGGTCATCGCGTTTCCAAAGGCCTCCAGGATAGGGTTCGTCTTCATGATCTGGTCCTGGATGTCGACCTTACCCTCTGTCAGCGTGGACGAGTAGCGCGAAAGGGTGCGCTTGGGGCCCGCCTTCGCCGCCTTGGAGGGAGAAAGGACGGCATGAGCATAAACTTTCGGAGGTCCGCTCGGACGTCTTGGATCGGCGATGGGCCCCCCTCCCTGGCGCGCGGACCGCTCCAGGGGCGGCGCTGGAGGCTCGCCGGGAGGGCCCAGCGCCGATCCAAGAAATCCGCGCAGCCTCACGCCTTCGCGCCTTGCTTTTTTAATATTCCGTGATTCTTGCTTCTTCGACGCCTCGCCCGCGCTCATGTCGTAGCGCTGCCCGCTGCCGGAGGAGTACGCTGCAATGTAGCCCAACACCAATTTCGCGGACTCCGTCTTGCCGGCCCCCGACTCGCCGCTGACTAGCACCGCCTGGCTGCGCTTGCCGCTCGCCATAATGCCTGTCACGGCGTCGTAGCCGACGTTGTAGATGTGCGGCGTCGTGCGATCCTCGGCGGAAGGCTGAATGTACCTCTTCAACCATTCCTCGCCGAAGATGGCGATCTTCTTGAACGGGTTCACCGCGACGAGGATCCTGGAGATGTTCGTGTAGATCACCTGGCGCTTGTATCTTAGGCGCACGTTGTGCAGCAGCACTGCCTCGGTGACGACGTCGATATTGCAGACGTCGTCTGCGCCCTCTATCTGCGAATCCTTCACCTCGTTCACAGAGCCCGAATGAAACACCTCGGCAAACGGGAATCCCCTGACCCTGTCGGCGTGTGTGCTGGGGGAGTCCTGGGGTGACCGTTCTGGGGCAGTCCTGGACGCCGGTTCCCCATTCGAAGCTCTACCGCGGGCCGGGGGGGGGAGTCACGGGGGTGGGTGTGCGGCTCCCTGCCCCGCCCCCCTTTACCTTGAGTGACTCGGGAGATCTTGAAGCCAATGTGCTTATCCGTTGGACACCGCTGCCCGGTGAAGCCCTGTCAGTTGGAAGCTGGGCGAGGGCTGGCAAATCAGTGGCTGCTAGAACGGTCTTGCTGGAAGAACCAAACAAATTCCTGGAATCAAGCTCAGCGCACTTCATAGTAAACGGGCTGCTTCCCGGAAAAAAATACTTCCCAGAGCTCCGTTATAGCAGCCACGGGTTTGCCAGCCTTCGCCCGGCTTCTGAGTCAGGGCCAACGAGTCTCGCGGGTCGTCTTGGAGGTCCCAGGTGCCAACCCAAGAAGCCCAGATCGGCTGAGTCCTCCGGGTTTTCGTGTGGTCTTGACATTCTCACCGCATCGGTCGCAGGAAAATCAGGGACGGCAGAGTCATTCCCAAGAGCCTCCAAAGGCAGCCACAAGAGGGCCCCCCAACACACGCCACTGTCGCACCTCTGCAAGCCAACCCAACCAACATGATCTCAAGACCCCGTTCAGGCCCACAATGGGGCTCCAAGGCGCACCCCAGAAGCCCCCCAAGAAGCTCCCCTCTGGAATAAGACCCTGACGCAGAGGCGAGATGGCCGCGGACAATAACATTATCGCCCTCCCATTCAAGCCGCCACTGCCCCTTGCCCCCCGTCTCCCTTCCGCCTCTTGCGCCCAAGCTGCCTACTTCTCGGGGTCGGCGGAACCGGCTGTGAGTAATTGACAATATCCTGGACAAGGGATGGAGGGTCATCTGCGGGGCGGCCCTCGGTTGCGAGACCCGCCCCGTATTGACACACCAACACCCAAACCAACAGCGTGGAATGGGGTTTCCCCGCTGCAATGTCCAAGCGGCGATCTGCGGGCAACGCCTATTGGCAGCTCACAGGCCCCTAGAGAGCACGACGGAGGGTTTCGAGAATGGCCCCCAGCGTCTGCCAAACGCTATTCGTCTTCTCCGTGTCGTCCCCATCATCTTTCCCCCCCTCCCCACTCACCCTCCCTCTTGGCGGTGGCGTAAGTGGCAGGTCGCATACCCTGTGCGCCACCCGCCTCCGAAGCACGCCTCGCACCAAGCCCGTCGTCGCACACGCACCCTCTCCGGTTTCTCCCCCGCCTCCTGGTTACTCTCGTCATCCGTCTCGTCATCCTGCTTTTCCTCCTCCTCCTCCTCCTCCTCCTCCTCCTCCTCCTCCTCGCAGCTTGCGCGCGAGTGTCCGCGCAATCGGACCCCCTGGAATTGCACCAGCTCTCTGAAGGTAGTGGCGGAAGGGATCATCTCCCCCAAGGCCCCCTCTCTCCACTCAAGAATGGGGCTCCACTGCCCGCCCCCCACCCCCCAAACCCCCTCCCCCCGGTCTGGACGGGGAGAGGCCGCGAGGCATAAAGGCGCCCATAGTGGACGGACCCCGAGCGACCGAAGAGCAGGGGCTTGCGCAAGAAGACGCGGTCACCTTCACGCGGTGGCCCACGCAGGCCACCCGCGCGGCAGGCCACGTAGACACGGGTGCCCTGCCGACGGGCGACCTTCCACGGGCAGCTCACGCGCGAGCGGAGGGGAAACTCAATGAGCTGACCCTGTCCGCAGCCTTCGACCCTCTGCCACGGGGTCCGTTGAGAAGTCTCTTGAAGTGGTGCCTACATGTGCCTCCCGCGAGCATGGCCATGGCCGGGCCATCTTCACGTGTCGGACCCCCAGGTGGGCGGACGCAGAAAAAAGGGGGCTTGCGGCACAGGGGGATGGCTACCTTACGCGGTGGCCCGCGCAGACCGCTCACGCGGAAGACCACGTTCCGAAGAGCACGTTTACGCGCGACCTTCCACGGGCAGGTTACGCGCGAGGGTCCGCACACTAGGGCACCCTTGGCCTGGGAGCACATCAGCCGTTTGGAACCCATCCCTTCCAAAGCCCCCTTCCCCGTCTCTTCGGTCTAGACGGGAAGTGCCGCGATGCATCAAGGCGTCAATGTTGGACGGACCCCACCTGGACGGACGAGGAGAAAGGGGGCTTGCGGCGCAAGGACACAAGAACCCAAACGCGATGGCCCGCGTAGGCCGCTCGCGCGGCAAACCACGTGGCCGAAAGGGCACTTACGCGAAACCTTCCGCAGGCAGCTTACGCGCGTGTCCGCGCAATGTAAGCGTAGCCCTGGAATCCTCCCAGCAGCCTTGTGGGAACCAATCCCTGGGAATTCCACCAGCCCTCTTGAAAACCGCTTGCACACGCGCCCGGGCGGCCGAAAATACGTCGCACAGGCGCACTTGTTGTTGCGATTGCGGTTGCGCGCTACCGCGGGCGGTCCAAAAGAATGTCACCTGGGCGAGGTTGCAGGCTGCGCCGGATGCGTCGCCGGGGTGCGATTGTAGTTGCGCGAGCACGGGTGAGGGCAACCCAAACTGTGCCGCCCGGTTGCGGCTGCGGTTGCGCGCGCCCGCGGGCGGCCCCAAATGCGTCTCTCGGTTGCGGTTGCGGTGACGCGCGCCCGCGGGCGGCCCAAAATGTGCCGCCCGGTTGCGGTTGCGGTTGCGCGCGCCCGCGGGCGGCCCAAAATGTGTTCCTCGAGCTCGGGTTGACGCCAGTTGTCAGTCAGGTAATCAGACACTTGTGGGCATCCACTTTCGCAAGGCACCACCTGGAACGCCTTCAGTTACAAGAAGCCTGTGGAAGAGATCCACATCATGAAGCACAAGGGTTTCGATTGCTTCAGAGTGCAGACTCCTGGGGGTCCCAATTGCAAACCCCTTCCAAATCAAGAAGCCCAATGCACCCTGGCAAAATATAGGCAGCGCCCGAGGCCTGATGCCACGAACCAATTGCAACGTCGCGAACAAATCACGACCCGACATGTGGGTATGATCTTCCGAGAGGGATCGATATGCAAGGATCCCGTGGTCCGAAACAGGGCACAGACGCGCGTCGTGTTTGCTTCCCCCTACACGACGCTCGGTGTCGGGGTCTCTTGATCAACGTCCCCGCTGCGTGGGCCTGCTTGCCATCCTCGTCCGCGTAGACGCCGTCCGACTTCTTCGCGCACGGCGCCCAGACGAGGTCAGGGTGCGGCACCCAGAACGAAGGCGGCATCGGTGGCGGCGGACGGGCGCGAGCGCGTCAAGAGGCGCTCAGCGGCTGCGGTCGCAAAACCAATCCGGATACGCGGCGTATTTTTGTTCCCGGTCATGTTTGCTCGGGGAGGGTGGGTGGTTGGACGCACCTCCCCCCCACCTTCCTCCTTGTTCCCTCCCACTTGCGACTTTCTCCCTTCTTCAGATTTCCTCCTCCTCCTCCTCCGCATCCCCCCCTCTCGCCCTCGTCTTTCCACCTCCCCATCATTTCCTCTACCCCTCCACCTCACAGCGGTTACTGATGCTGATGCTCATTCACCTTCGTTTTCGTATCCCTCCTGGCCCTCGTGCTGATGCTCCTGAGGCTGCTGCCCCCTCTTCTTCTTCCTGCCACCCTAGAGGTAGGGTGTCCCACCTCTTAGAACACCGAAACTCGTCCCAAGTCAGCGTCTTACCACTCTTTCTGTCTCCTCCTCGGCTGCCGCTGCTGCTTCTCCTCGTGCCTCCTCCTAAAAAAACACCACCGTGCAAGTAGACGCATCACAATCACGTCATGAGTTTGATGTAGTTATGGATGTGTGTGTGGTGTGTGCTTTGATGTTGCCAACTGATTACTATTGCTAGTCTGGCGTGTGGTTTAAGTCTGCTGTTTTGCATGATGCCTTCTCCCACCCACTCCTCCCACCGCTGATTTTCCCACCTCCTTCTCCTCGTTCCCTCCTCCTCATCCTCCTCCTCCTCCTCCTCATGACACCCCTTCCGTCTCCAACACGGCCGCCCTGCCCCGAGCGAGTGAGCGAACGCAAACGAAGCGAGACCCGCGCCCGTGCCCCAGCCACGTGGCCCGTGCGCCTCCCTCCAGAGCAGCGCCTCGCTGCCCATCCTGAGACGCCTCTCAGAGGGGGGCATCTCCGATGCGTCCGCGGCGCATCGGCCACGTCGGCGATGCATCGGCGCAGTCGGCGTGGCGAAAGACGGGCTTCGCGTCGAGCCCTGTCTGGAACGCCCCAGCCTCCACCGAGGCTGCGGCGACGAGGCGGGGCAGCCAGGTGTGTCGCCCTCGGCCCTCATAGACCGAAGGAGGAGGGTGGTTGGACGTTTCCTAAGCCGTCCGTCCTTGTTTGGGCCTTTCCTCAGCGGGCGAACAACAACCGTCATCGGGGACGCCTGTCCCATAGCGGCTGTAACATTTGAAGGTGGCACGTCAGGGTGTAAAATCTCCCGCCGCCTTGGTGCGAGTGCTTCCGATGGCGGAAAACATGTTGTACAGTTCTTCGTCGGCGGGGTCAGGGTCCCGGGCAGCAGCAAGACTTACCAGGCGGGGCATTGCTCTCCATTCCTCCTGTTCATCCCTCCACCCCTCCTTTCCATTCATGCAACGCCGGGGGACCTACGGCATGATGACTCAGGACCATGAGGTTGCTACCTTCTTTGCCTCGATTACGATCACGGCGCTTCTCTCTCCGTTCTGTATCTAGCTGCCGCCCTAGTTCGAGAGGTCTCGGGCGCCGTACCTTGTACGGCAAACCTCCCTCGGGGCGGGCACACACGCGCGCTTGCCCACGCCCGTGCATCGGGCTCGCCAGGCCATCTCAACTTCCCCACTTCCCTTCCTAGCCTTCAGCTTACTGTGGTCGGGACCGGGGGTGCGATTGATATGTTGACGGGGACGAGGTTCTACTGCGGCGTCGGAGCAAGCACTGGCCACAGGTCTAGCGTGCGAAAATCGTGCACTCCCGCTGGCCCCTGACTCGCACCTGGCCCCCACTCAGCTGCCGTTTCGTTGGCCTCCTCTTGCTTCTTGGTGCTTCTCTTTTCGTTCGATCTCTAGCTGCCGCCCCAGTTCGAGAGGTTTCGGGCGCCGTACCAGGTACGGCGAACCTCCCTCGGGGCGGTCAGACACGCGTGCAGGCCCTGCCCGCGCATCGGACAAGCCAGGCAGTCTCAACTTCCCCAGTTCTCCTGGGTATAGGTTTGTTGGCGGGGACGTAGTTCGCACTGCGGCGATGAGGCAGGCATGGGACGCAGGTCGAGCGTGCGAAATCGTGCACTCCCGCTGGCCCCTGCCTCGCACACGCCCACTTAGCTGCCCTTTCGGCCGTTTGCAATCTATCTCACCTACTCCCCTCTTTAATCAGCCTCCTTTTGCCTTTTCCCTACTCTTGTTGCGTTGCGGTGCGCCTTGAACGCCTTCTGACGATATGGGGGTGGTACGGGTTAGGTGTCGGAGGCGGGAGGATTCACCAAACCTTGGCGCCCGTGCTGCTAGATACCGCGTGTTTTTGCCAGCAGCTAGTGAGTGCCGCACCAAGCTGACCGTTCCATCGGCAAATCAGAGGTCAATCCAAATCCTCTCCATTCCTCCTCCACTGGGGGGTTACCAAGGGTGCTTCTGGCCCGAGGGGTATTCAGAGATCGTCGCGCCATTTTGGAAGCCCCTGGGGCACTCTGGGTTTCGTGAATCGGGGGCGGCACAGAGGGGGGCGTCCAAGAGGGGGAGGGCGCAAATCATGACCGGCGGCACGTGCGCGGCCCATGGGGGGAGGCGGGGACGTAGTGAAACAAGAAGAGGCGCCGTGAAACCTGGGGAAGTATCATGGCCCCCGCCATGACATCCACCCCCCCCTAGTCATTACCCCCTCTTTGCCGCCCCCGAGTGAAGGGCGCTCCAGAGGCAGCCTGGGCCTCCCAGGAATTCCTGGGGGCACGGGGGGCAGCGCTCGATCCTCCGCGGGCCGACCCCGGCGCCGACCCCCGGGGCCAAGGGGGGAGGCGAGCTCCCGTTGGCCCGGGGGGGGGGCTGCCGTGCGGGAGCCGCGCGCGAGGGGACGGGCTGGATCCTCGCTCGCAGCCTCGGATAGAATGTCAAGGACCTGTGGCGGTTGGCAGTCATCTCTACAGGGAGGCCTGTGCTGCGTTCGGGCCTCTGTGCTGATCGCACCGCATCGCTAGATCACGCCCCTCGTCCGACATCCGCCACCGTGCCGCGAGGCAGAAGTTGGAATGCCCGCAGGCCCCTTGGAGTCCTCATACCTCAGGATTGAACCTGAAGGGGCCCAAGCCTTAAATCCTCAAGTTTTCCGGAGTTTCCGGCGTGCCTCCCGCGGTTCCCCGGCGTTTTCCGCATGACTCTGTCGGAACCACGGTCGACCCCAAAACGGGCCAAGAGGGCACCGAGAGGTCTCTGACCCACAACCCAAGCGCGGTGGCAGGATGGGCCGAATGTCAGTACTGGGATCAGCGGGTGGTTTAAGTGGATAAGGGATTATAAGTGGGTGCTACGGTGGATTGTATCTGGTCGAACCTAACTTTCATGTGGGTTGCAAATGCCCTGATTGGCTTAGGAAGATAAATGTTTCCGCTTCAATGGGCGGGGACCACTTTGCTTGGATCTGTACCTCCCCTGAACCACTTAGGTCACCTCTCACCGTATGAGCCGCCTCGGCACCCACTTGTAACCTATCACCCCCGATCCAGCTAGCAATCCCCACGGTGATCCAAGTAGATAACCTGAGGCGTGGGCACGCGCTCGATCCTCCCCCTCCCCCGCGCGATCACCGCAACAATAGGATGCCGAACGGGCCGACCCACCCCAAGTGAAGCCAGCAGGTGAAACTTGGCGCACGCGCTCAAGAAGCCTCCAGAGAAAGAGAGAGGGAGAGAGAGAGATGGAGAGAGAGAGAGAGAGAAAGAGTCTCCTGGCCACCCCGAGCCTCCAAATCCACTGTCGGATGCCCTCCAAGACTGCCCAGCGTGGCCACGGCGCCTCCAAAGCCTTCCCCCCTCGGAGGCACGCCGCTCCTAACGTCGCCCCCGTACTTTCGGATCATAGCTCGGGTCCCGGGCAGCCGTTCGAGACGATCCCGGCACCTCCGGAAAGTTCTCGGCGAGGCGCAGCCGCTGGAAGGCATCCCGAGCCTCGGGATGCCTTCGGGACCCGAGGCGGGCTCCCCTCACGACCAGCTTGCGACCAGCTTGCCGCCGACGCCGCAAGTTTTCTATTTCTTCCCCCTAGTTCCCAAAAGTAGTGAGGACGGTGATCTTTAGCATCCCGAGGCGGGCTCCCTCGGCCAGTCCGCCCCCTGTCGGCGCCCCGGACAAGCGCCGACCCCGCTCCGCGCAGCCTGCGAGGAGCGCAGCCGTGCGGAGGCCGCCGGCGGGGCACGGCGCGCCCCTCGCCGAGGTGCCCAGCACCGCCGCGGGCAGCGAGGCCGCGAGGACGCGAGGACGAAAACGTCCTCCCCCTCCTCCTCCTCCTCCTCCTCCTCCTCCTCCTCCTCATCATCAACATCATCATCATCATCATCATCATCATCATCATCATCATCATCATCATCATCATCATCATCATCACCTCCTCCTCCTCCTCCTCCTCCTCCTCCTCATCATCATCATCATCATCATCATCATCATCATCATCCCTCCTCCTCCTCCTCCTCCGCCTCCTCCTCCTCCTCGCGTCCTCCCAAGGCCAGAGGACGCGAGGCCACCCTCGGAGGCGCGCCCCTCCTCCTCTGCCTCCAAGTCGACGTCGAGCGTGGCAGCGGCCGCGACGCTGCCCGGGCCCAGGGCGCCCCCGAGGCCCAGGGCGCTGCGGAGGCATCGGCGGAACCTGCCCACGCGAGGGCGAGCGGGTCTCAATCGTCCATGTCGTCGTCGCTGTGTTCGTCGTCGTCGTCGTCGTCGTTGTGTTCGTCGTCGTCGTCGTGGTCGTCGTCGTCTTCGTGATCGTCGTCGTCGTCGTGTTCGAGGCCCCCGTCGTCGTCGTATTCGTCGTCGTGTGCCTCGAAGAAGACGTCGTGGTCGTCGTGGTCGTCGTCATCGTCGTCGTTCTCGTCGTCGTCGTCGTCGACGCCGTCGTCTTGTTCCTCGTCGTCATCGTGTTCGTCGTCATCGTCATCATCTTCGTCGTCGTCCCGTTCGTGGTCGTCCCGTTCGTCGTCGTCATTGTGATCGTCGTGGCGGTCAGGGCTGTCGTCGTCGTGATGTTCGTCGTCGTCTTCGTGTTCGTCGTAATCGTTGACATCGTCGTCGTGTTCGTCGTCGTCGCCGCGCTCGTGGCCATC